AGAGAGAGAGAATATGCCAAGGTTTAATGCAATGCTGGAGGAAATACGAAAGAGAAACAAAATGTGAGTTTAAGCCAATGTTATTTATTCATGGCTAAAAATGCTTTTCTCCTTAAGGCTAAAGGCCAAGTTGCCATGCATTGTTTTATGGCTGCTCCACGGTTGCCAGATGGGTTGCTTTCACTTAGATCCTCTCATACTGTTTTCTCGACAACAGTGATTAAGCCTCTAAATTTTGTGAACCATGGTTCAAAGCTACATGGAATCTACATCTCTTGTCTAGATTCCAGAAACGCCTTGTTTTGAAGGAAATACAGTAGAGGTGCAGACATGGTACAAAAACCAGCCAGCTTCTCTTCGAATGGGATGCTCTGCATTGCAAAATAGCGTTGCATCTGCCATTAGCAGGAGTAGTCCTGTTAAAGGCTGCAGCCAAAAGCTTAATGAATGTACCGATCTCCCTCCATGAGGTGAATCCATATGGCAACTCTCCGTATGAGGCCACAATCATCTCCCGCGATGAAGGTTTAGCTAGCATGGTGTTGCTGTACCCTATGGGGTTAACGTAAGATTTAGATACCTCATATTTTCACTCTCACAGACCACAGGATTGAAAGCATTCTGTTAACTACCACTGGGTATCTACCAAGCCGTGCTTGTAAGAGGAAACTAATGAGGAATGTCATAAATCGTTAAAAAAATTTTTTGCACATCTTGTTAATGCTATTTTATCCATGCAGAAAAAGATATGAAATGTATGATCTCTCATAGCCACCACTCAATGGGTGGGAGTTCCCCCCCCCCGCCACTTTAAGTAGGTTGATAGTCAAGGGACACTGTTTGTTAAGACAAGGGGATTTGTGCAACAAATGGAGTAAAGAAGGACTCTTTTCCAGCCTGTGATTATAGAAGTACTCAGGGAAGAAGTGGTATATTGAGGCTTGGGCTGAGTTTGGTTTCTTTCCTTAGGCATTCTGGGATATCAGTCCAAGCAAGAACCTTTTGTACCAAAGCACCCCTGTCCTTACTTATTAGAGGTCCTGATTTTGGCTAAGCCATACAGCCAGTACTGTATGTAACTGAATGCTAAGCACTTTGATCAGTTCCTGAACCAAATACTGTACTGAAGAGAGGCTTCAGTTGTCACAAGTGGTTTGAACCATATATTAGTAGCATAATCCTATCATATTTACTCAGAAGGAAGCTGTGAAGCTTACTTTCAGCATATACACTCTTAGGATGTATACAATTACAACTGAAACAGATTTTCTAAGATCAATTAACTGTTCTAAAAATCATGGTGATGGACTCCAGACAGTGCCTTCTTCAGAAAAATAAAATGGCTGTTGGGATAAAATGTTTGCTTGCTTCTGCCTGCAGAAAAGCAGATATTCATCGGTCAGTGGCTCAAGTGAAAGATCTCTTTGCTATCACAGAGCTGGTACACACACACACACACACACACAGTATGATCATGGTATCAATGGGAGATTGGTTCCAAGCTCCCTACAGATACCATAAACAATGGATATGCAAACCCTATACGAAAGATCTCTTTGCTATCACAGAGCTGGTTCATGCACACACACACACATATACAGTATGATCACGGTATCCATGGGAGATTGGTTCCAAGCCCCCTACAGATATCATAAACAATGGATATGCAAACCCTATACAGTAGTGTACTGTATATAGCATAGTCTCTGGTTCCCTCTAGTGGCCAGTTCTTGTAATACACCTTGGCAATGCATATTTCAGGGTTTATTAATTTAATATTTTCAGACAGAAGACAACTGTCTGAAACCATAGGTACTGATCCCACAGATACGGTGGCCATACTGTATATTGTTCAGTGTCTCAAGTGATATGAAAACCATCTTAGAGGTATCTGAACTATGATGGGATTAATTGGATATTCATGACAGATGCAAAGATATTAATAAATTGCCATTCCTTACAGCCTTGTCTAGTTTCATTATTTGAATATGGGCTTCATTTGTGATTAATGTTGGCTTGAAAATGGAGAGATACCTATCAGAATAAGCCATTTTTATTGGTCTGCTAAGGATCAGTAAACATCAACACATCCCTCTGTAAATACCCCATCTGGCTTTCAGCAGTAGTTTCCCTCTTCTTTTCAGTTTGTGTCAAAAGAACATAGGGTAAATCATTTAGGATATCAGCCAGATCCTAGCAAGTTCTGTGATTGACTCCAATTCATTTTAATCGCAAGTGTTTATGCACACTATTGATATTGTTTATTAGGTATCTTAAGTTCTATAGTTACTGGAGTGGCTGAAAGTTTCAGTCACATGCCAAGCTGACATGATGATATGTATGTTGAATTATATATGTAACATGTATACTACTGCATGATACTATAAGAAAACATCAAATGTGAAAATACTCAAATGCTCATTAAAACAGGTGTTTAAAATGTATTATTCATTGATCTACTAAAATCTGCATTTTCTACACCCTTTGCCAGTAAGTAAATCTTAAGTAAATGAAGACTACGAAAAACATTTGAATTAAATAATTTGTTTCGTCACTTGGCCTCTTTTTAATGTACTCTTTCACATCTTTAAAATTCAGTGTAATGCTCCTAGTTTAGAGATGGATGCAAATTAAAAAACAAATTACCAGATTTGTTCCAAAGTCATTGTCAATTCATAGTTGTAGAAATCTATGTCTCTGACAAATTGCAAATGAATAAATTTTTAGTGATTTTTAATTCATTGATTTGTTTGACTATAAAATAGCCCCAAAGGCACATAGAGATATCAACACTGCAGGAATCCTTCTTCTGAATTGCCTCTACAATCCTTCCAAATTTGAGGAAGATTGGTTTTCAGATGTCCGAGTTATGCAGAACACCTGCCTCTCCCAGTTCCCCCTAGGTACCTAGAGATACCAAAATTACAGAGAAGCTGCCCATGGACTCTTCTCTACAATCTCTCCAAGTTTGTGAAGACTGTGCTTCCCCTATCCAGCTGCTAAAGGGCACTTCCTGGGGGGTGGGGACAGCCCACTTTGTGAGTGTATAATTTAGATGTCTGAATCTTCACCAAACTTGGTGGGACTGTAGAAGAGTCAGGGGAAGCTTCCCTGCAAATTTGGTGACACTGGGTGCCTGGCAGGAACTTTCCTGGAGGGGGTGTCCTTGTGGGTGTATAACTCTGAAGTCCAAAACCCAATATTCACCAAACTTGGAGAGTTTGCAGATGAGAGTCAGGGAAGCTTCCCTGCAAATTTGGTTTCTCCAGGTGCTTGATGAGTGTTTGATGGCATTTTAAAGTAAAAAAATGAATTGATTGATCGATTCATCATTCGTCAGAAAAAGATTATAAAAAAATGAATTGATGGATCGATTCATCATTCGTCAAAAAAAATTACACATTTGTGATTTGTGATTCATTGACCTTGACGAATCACAAATCAAGACAAATCACAATTTTTCCAATTCTTGTCCATCACATTTAATATAAATTGTGTGTGATGTATTTACAAGCAGTGCATTTATTTTATGTGAACATTCTTTCTGCATACATTTTTGTTTGACATGTTGGATGTATCCCCTAGGAACCACTGGGAGGTATGCTACTGAATCTACCTGCATGACATTGTTCAGGATGCTTATCACCAGCTATGAATTAGAGGGAGATGAAATTTCTGTCTCCGTTTGGCTGAGGTGTGGGAAGGCTTATCAACAGTTTCAATATTTTCATGCAGTCTCTTGACAGAACTGCTGTCCTTCATGAAATCATCTAAACTTCCAAGAAAGAAGGAAAAGAAGGTCTGATATCTGAATGTTCTGTCCAGGACATATTTGTTCATTTCAAGTTATGTGTGTCTTGTAATAGTAATGGGCAGGATCCACTATGGTGCAAGTGGACCTCTGCTTGCAAAACGGGATTTCCTCCTCCTAGCATCCTTTTTGCAGCCCCACCAAAATCTTCTCCAGAAGGCCATCTCCACCTCATCTTCTGGAGAAAATTTCGGGGGCACATGAGGAGCGGCAGAAAGAATTTTCCTGATGCCAGCTATTTCCTTTGGCACAAAATAAGTTTGCTTAGGAATAGACTTGAGGATCAAATGATACATGTTGCTGAGCTGCATATGGATAGCTCAGTGGTTTAGGTCTCTGGCTGTGGAGCCGGAGGCTGGGAGTTCGATTCCCCCACTGTGACGCCTTGAGAAGGGCTGGACTCAATGACCCACGGGGTCCCTTCTAGTTCTGTAGTTTAAAGGCTATTATTTTTATTTTAAAAAATTGCAGAGCCAGGGCCAATGGAATGAAAAGTGTGGGGCATGTGAACCTTTTCCTTATAATAGGGAGTCTTTTCTCTCGAGAAACCACTGGGAGATCTGCTATTTACAGAAAAGCAGTGAAATGAAGGGGGATGAGATCAAAACCAGAAGTGCTCTGCCATCATTTCCAGTTTTGTTCAGTGTTGAAGAATCTGGGAGCCCCTGGACATCATTTTATCATGAAACAGCTGCACTCAGAGGAATCTTGAAATAGAAAACTACATTAAAAAAAAAAATACCCCAAACTGAGATAAGTGGGGGATCTGCATGTCCTGTCCTTCGTGACCTGGGTAAGGTGCAAGGGGGGGGCAAGGGCCATGATTTGCCCACCCATGTCCTCTCCTTTCCTCTCGCTTCAGAAGATTCCTCCCACCTGCTGCTTCCCCTTTAGTACAGTGGACCCTCTACTTACGGAATCAATCTGTATTGGAACGGTGGCTGCAGGTCGAAAAGTCTGTAGGTCGAGTCTCCATTGACCTACAATGCATTGAAAATCAATTAACCCCGTAACCACCCGTTTTTGTTCCGTTTTTGTTCCATTTTAGTTTTTTTCTGGTCTGTAGGTCGATTCTCAGTCTGCAAGTCGAACCTAAATTTTGTGGCCAGAGAATTTTGTCACTCAAAAAGTCTGTAAGTCGAGCCATCTGTAAATCGAGGGTCCACTGTATAGGGTCTCAGGTGTGTGTTTGTGTGTGTGCGGCAGAGAGAGAGAGAGAGAGAGAGAGAGAGAGAGAGAGAGAGAGAGTCTTCTTCACCAGTGTGCAGGCGTGTGTGTATTTTGAAGAGAAAAAATTCCTGTGAACAAAAGTCAAGTGTCGTTTCCCTGAAATCTCCTCAATATTTTTCCCATTGAGGCTTTTGCTTCATAAATGAAAGGAAGAAAATGTGATGCGTATGTAGTGGGCTTTGCAACTCCCCTTCTACCCTCTTTCAGCAAACATCCTGACGGATGCCACAGGGCATCGAACGTCCACACAATTGATAATGGGAAGCTGACAAAACTGCCCTTCCATTTCTCTAGGCCCAAGCTTTGGGTTTGTATTTTTTCAAAAAGAATGCCATACAGTAGTAGGTTGGTTTTTAAACCTCAGATAGCAGTTGTTGTTGCTGAATACATTTGCCCCCTGAGACTGACCACAGATCCAGACCAGGATCAGATCAGAATGGCAACAAAAGGGACGCCAGAGTGGGTCGCCCCCTTTAGTCAGGCCCAGGGTGAGGGGAGGCCTCTGTCTCTCCCTTTCCCTCATCATTCCTAAAATGGGGAGGCGTTACACTTTCCCAAATCTGAAGAGAAGTTAACCTGTTCAAGCAAAATAAGTCAAACCGTTACTAGGTCGCCCTTTACGAGGGGAGGAGGGAGGGAGCCCGTAAAGTTGCTTCAGACTCACACTTCTCAGCCTTTTAAAATCCATACCCTTCTTGCAACAAATCTAAAAACCTCATGCCACTCTTTAAACCTGCCTTTCCTCATCATTTTATTTGCAACTTGAAACACTGTAATTGAAAACAGCTCAAAATATTTATAGTGATAGAATATGGGTGCGGGTCCATGGGTTGCAGCAGGACGCAATCAGCTGTGTAATGAGAAAGCTATAGATAATTTCCCCCCTCCTTTCTCCAAATAAACAATGAATATGTTTTATAAAAAAAACACAAAATGAGAACTGCATATGCCTCCCCTGAGATCCCAGTTTGCCACTGGTTCAGAACCGCCGCTTTAGAAGGCAGCGAACTTAAGAAAAAGAAACCAGATGAACTCCAAGTAGACTTCTACAAGTAGAGTTCCCCCATTTCTCTTTGCAGCCTTCCAGATCCGGTCCAGAAGCATCCTACCCCACAAGCACAATTTGAAGGTGTGCTGGAGGCTGCTGGAAGAGTGAGCATTGGCCCCACCGTCTGTAACTATCAGCGGGAGGCATTAACTGTGGAGCACTCTGCACGCTTTGTTACACGTTGTGTTACTCCAAAATGATGTCAGTTTTGCCTTAAAATAATTTGGCAGTTGCTCATTTTATTGACCTTCCTGGTGTTTGTGTGTTTAATTACTACTAAGTTGTCATTGTGTCTGTCAAACTGTGACAGAGACTGCTTTCAAACCTTATGACTGCAGTGCTGCTGAAAATGGCTCATGGGGAGTCGTAAAGAAACGGAATTAATTTGCAACTCTCCTTTTTTTTTGGTTGGGTATCCAAGTAGCTCATGGGCATTTTAATTGTAAAAATAAAACTAATTGTGCTTATATCTACAAGCTCCAGTTCTATAATTCCAATGGGCAGTCTTTTTTTAAAAAAGATGACTGAAAATATCCTTGGGGTCTTTAAAAACCAAAATGCTTCAATAAACTATTGTGTTTTTAACACTGTAGTAGCTAAAGCATCGGCTCCGAATTTCCTTATCTTCCGACTCCAGTAATTACAGATGCTGTTCATTTAGCCTGTTTGTGTATGTAGTAATGTTTCATGTTTCTTCATAATCTTGAGGGAGTCCTGCTGATTTTAATACTGTATATGAATATACGAGTATAACAAAAAAGGCAAATAAACTGCTCATTACAAACTGTTTTTTCCCCACTTTCTAAAAGGAACCCAATACCTCTTATTATCTTTAACGCAAGATTCGCTCTTGGCAGTATAATTTATTTATTTATTTATTTTAAAGACATGATTGCAGCATTGTCATTTAATATAGAGACTATATAGGGCTTTATTTTGCTTTTCGTGTAAAGAAGTGAACAAAGAATTGAAGTAGTCCAATTAAAAAAGAAAAGAAAAAGAAAATCAGGCATAGGGTGACCAGATGCAAAAGAGGACAAGGTTCCGATATCTTTTAGATTTGTGGGCAAGAGGACATTTCAGCAGGTACAGCTTGCAATAGAAGCAACACCTGCTGAAATCCGCACTTCCAAGCAACTATTAAAAGCACAGGAACCCTAACCCTCTCCTCTTTCACCCTAATTTTGCCAACCTAATAATTTGTCACTGCATTTGGGTTTTTTTATATATATATTTCAATGCAATCTTACACACATCCAAATGGAAGGAGGTACAGTTGTGTTCAGCAGGATTTATTCCCAGATTAAGTGGCTAGAGGATTACAACAACCTAAGAGGAGCCATGTTGCATTAAAGGCAAAAAAGTGATCGTGCTCCCATACATTCAGAAGGATATTGTTGTTTTTAGACTCTTAGGTGCAGCACCCTGCATTACATTACGTGTTCCTTTCCACCTCTCAAATTCGGGAGGAGAGGCGGGTGCTGACAGGAAGCTTGGAGAGTGGGGTGTGTACATGGATGTTTATACACTGTCCTTTTAGGGTCCTGCCATAATACCCAAAACAATCATCTTCTATTTGTCCGAGCAGTAAACTCCACACCTGATGCTTGGTGATCACTGAGATGCTAGCATCTGTTTTGGAAAACGATACCAGAGTAAAACTGTTTTATCTTAGAAACATTCACATTCATTTCAGGGAGCAGGAGGGGTCCTGGAAAATGTTGTGACTCTCAAGATCTGAAAGAGCTTAAGGAGATGTCAGATTGCCCACCCTGGTCTTACAGGGCACTCCATATTCCATAAACATAATGGGGATGGATTATATTAGTGTTGAACTAGAATAGTGGTTATGTGTCTTCTTACATGTACAGCTGTGTGGTTGAACGACATAGATGTCACACTAGTGGATTTTGTTCTTGTTGTTTTCATGTTTTGGGATTGGCATAAATGAGACCATTATGAACACAGTCTACAGACTGTAAACCAGAAAGTCAAAGCTGTAAAGACCAAGCAGAAAAAACATACTGAAGATGTTCTGCTCCTGGAAATTATTTTCCCATTGTTAAATCATATGATGAGCTCTTTACTCTCTCTACTGAGATGAAAACCAAACCCAAAAACCAAATAAAAAACCCTGAAATATTTACATCTATTAAAAAAAATTCCTAACATCTCAGATGCTTCTTGCTTGACATGTCGTTCCAAATCCTGTGCATTTCCTCAGGCGATATCTGATGCACTGTGATAACACGCCGGTATCTACACAGGCTGTACGCCATCTTCCAGTGATTAAAGCCACTGTTTTGGAAAGGATGGATGCCAAGTTTCCTCAAACAGAGTCCCACATACACATCTTCAAGGTGAAGAAGTCTAGTATGGAGGGAGGTTTTGTAAATCATTTCAGCGACGTCAGCTGAAAAAATGTAGCCAGTGCCCGAGCAAAATGGCGGGTAGTTGCTGTCAGGATACAAATCCCTGGGCATGTACCATTTGCTACGGACATCCCTGATTGGCCCTCCATTGATGACATAGCCAGTGAAGTACCTCCGCCTTGGCTTGGTGCTGGGTTTGAGCAACTTGTAAATAAGGTTGTCCATATTTACAAAAATGTCACTGTCTGTTTTCATGACGTACTTGGCTTTCGAACAAAAGGTGGCTACCCATCTCATTCCCATTAACGTTTTCAGGGTCAGGTTATGATAGGAATCAATGAAGTCCTCCACAATGATGTCATGGAAAATCTGACTCTCCTGTTCAACCATCTGGTTCAACACAGGGTCTGTGTTTTTCCCCAGAAGAAAAAGAGTGGAAATCTTAATGCCTTTGAAGTTGTTCTCATCTCCCCAAGTCTCTCGAATGGCTTGTCTGGCGTCAAATTCTTTGTGCGTCGTGCTGATGAGAATGACTAGAAAAGGGGGATTCTTCTCACATTTCTCCGGCTCATTTATGAGGAAATCAAATGAATGAGGATTGATTGGTCGTGTCCTTATATTGCCAAAGGAGACATTTTTTCTTGCCATGGATATGCTGTCGTACGTTTTATGGACTGTGTAGGATGAAGTGGGGCGTGTTATGCTTAAATACCAAAGAGCACTGGCCCAACACACAACTGTCAGGACATACAAACATGAGACTTTTGAAGCCATTGTTCCTGGTGCTCTTCTATTCATCAGAATGAATAAACCGCCTTCTTACCATTAGCATCTCTTGGTCCCACAACAGCACCATGATATTTTTTCAGACCTTAAAGTTCGACAAAGAAAACCTCTTCCAGACTCGTTCATTGAGCTCAGAGAAAAAGTTTTAAGCCTGAAGTGCATTCTTTCACCTGTGTGTCAGGAACCTCCATGTCCTGGGGCGATGTGTTATTTCTGAAAAACATTAGTGGAAAAGGATGTATATGAACGTTAGATAAGTCTTAACAGCAAACTTTGTTGGATATGCAAAATTACGGTAATTAAAACATGCTATTGTTTTGTGCAGCATCAACTTTCTGGAAGTTTCATATTAACAGGTTTTTACTTGGACATTAGGGAAATGAATAAATAAACCACCACAAACCTAACAAGAAAGGCAGTGTATTTTAACAAACACAATACTGACTTGCAATCACATCAGTGGCAATCCAAACCAAGGTGGACAGGCTGGGCCACTTCTGATATATGATTGTTGTCAAGAGGCCCAAAACGCCCAGCAACAAATTGACAACTATCTGTTCAAACTGGTTTTGGCAAAAACAAAACAAAAACCCACCAGCTAGTTGTTCCAGCACTGATCTGAGCCCAAGGAAAACATACTTTCCCACAAGATGATGCAACATAAAAGAAAAACACTCTTAAAATCCAACAGATTAAGGATATTTATTTAAAATACTTACATTTTCAAATAAAAAGGCAATAAGCTAAAATAAAAAGCAACAAAACATATGACTACAACAGAGTGATACAATAGTTTTGGAACTGATTACACCCCTTTAAAGAAACATATTTGAACAGTCCAAGGAAACTCTTATATATCTACATATAAAAGATGAGATCCAGCATGATGTAGGGCAGTGGTTCCCAACCTTGGGTGACCCAGGTGCTATTGGACTGCAATTCCCAAAAGCTTTCATGACCAACTGTGCTGGTCAGGGTTTCTGGGAATTGTAGTCCAAGAATACCTGGGTTACCTAAGGTTGGAAATCACTGGTACAGTGGATAGAGTAAACGGCCCAGGACTTAGCAGACCTCAAATCACCTTTTGGCCATGGAGAAACGGTGAAGGTGGCACAGGTAAAACTAACCCTTCAATAACCCACATGCCTTATAACATGATTAGGATCACCCTAGGTCAGATGTGACTTAATGACCCATGGCCACAACAGTGAACTGCGGTATCCTTAAATTTGAAGCCTGCAATAATATGATTACATTATTTAATTATTATTCCATCATGTATTACTAAACTATAGCCTTGCTAGTTTATGATATCAGAGATCAGAATATGAACCAATTTGTTTTGAAGAGGAATTCTGTGTCAGTGAACTTCTATTCACTTTCATACACAGGGATAAAACAAACAAACAACTTGATCCTGTTTGAATTGTAGCACATTTTCTGACCTCAGGAATTCCACAGAATGTGGGGGTACAGAAATGCTCCCTGTCTAAAGGAATATATTGGTGTAAGTGGCATCAAGTTGCTGCACCTAAATAACCAGAAACCCTCCCGCCCCCAAAAAAGACAAAACACACAGTTCTTGTATTATTAGGTCTTTCTTAATCCCAGCGAATTCCAAGGTTCCCTCAATGGAAGAAGCTGCAATTTCCTCCAGAGTACATCACTTCTGTTTTGTCACAATTTTGTTTGGTTAAAAAAAAGCATGAAACATTTTTGTCCCGATAAATAGCATTTACTAGGACAATCTCTCTCTCTCTCTCTCTCTCTCTCTCTCTCCCAGTGGCATAAAAACAATGGACTGGCCTTGGCTTTTTTTCTGCTTTGGCATCTGTAAAGCACATTTGAATGCTCAACCCAGTCCACAGGTAAAATGACAGGGTATGATGTGTTACTTTTTCCATGGACAAGAACACAAAGAACAAAAAGACACGAACTATGAGATACCTCTTTGCGCCATGTTCGCACCTAATGTTAGGGATTTTGAAAGCTCTTGTGCCGTCAGAGCCTCAGGGTGCAGTCCTGGTCCCCAGGGGGTCCATTGGTCTTTGGAGTTGGCCTGGCATCCGGGCTGAGGGGGCTCCAGGCAAAGGGTTCCCAGGTGGGCTCCAGCTGTCCGTCGAGGCCTTGTTTCACAGAAACAGGCAGCAGTGCCAGTGTGCTGAGCAGCACCTGGGCAACCATTTTAATTGCCCACAACTGCTGCTGTCAATGTCACTCTGAGGCAGTGAGGGAAATTTAAGTGGAGCCCTGATAGAGATGCCCAGATACACACCATGTAGTATATCCAGGCTGGAATTCTTAAGACCAGACCGGACCGTTGTCCAGTGATGACCAGGCACTAGTGTCAACTCTGTTTTAGAGAGAGGCCAGAACTTGGAAAACACTATTTATTGGCCTGTACCTTCCAAGATTCCCTCACACACTATGGTCACTGGCTGCAAGACTCTGGGAGACATAATCTCCCAAGAAGGAACTTTTTCACACTCTGCAGGTGGATGCATGTAGCAAATAAATCTGGATCACTTTCAACTGTGGGCAACTCCTGGTACAGGAAGAGCAAGAACCAACCAATGTTCATTAAAGGTGTCAATGAACATACCTGCATATGCAATTTTCATTAATGAAAGGGGAAGGGGAGTGGGCATCAATAATATATAAATATGGATTTTGTTATTTTAATAAACTACATTCCCAGGTTAATTATGTCATCCTTCCTTCCCTTCCTTCCTTCCTTCCTTCCTTCCTTCCTTCCTTCACCCATGTTCTTGTTAGAGATACAAGGATCTTGTATTATTGAAGGCAATGGGGCATTCCCACTAAAGAGTTATTTCATGTGTACAAAGATACCCATCTAATCCTGCACCTGCAAAATGGTTGAAATGGCAAGGTGAAATATACAATATGCTATCCCACAGTAATTGAAGGCAATAGGTTCCTTCCTTCCTTCCTTCCTTCACCCATGTTCTTGTTAGAGATACAAGGATCTTGTATTATTGAAGGCAATGGGGCATTCCCACTAAAGAGTTATTTCATGTGTACAAAGATACCCATCTAATCCTGCACCTGCAAAATGGTTGAAATGGCAAGGTGAAATATACAATATGCTATCCCACAGTAATTGAAGGCAATAGGAATGGATGTGACCTAACGGGCTTTCTGTTTTGTTTAACTTTGTTATCTTTTGTTTTCTATTTTATTGCACATTTTTGTGTCATAAGTTCATTTGTTGGCTATGATTATGACAGAAAAGGAGAGAGGGTATAAATATACTTGTAATTATTTAAAACAATGTTGGTATGTTCCATCAAGTCCCTTCCAACTTATGGCAACCCTATGAATAAGCCATCTCCCAAATATCCTTCTCCTCAACAGCCCTGCTCAGCTCCTGCAGGCTCACGCCCGTGGTTTCCTTTAGGGAGTCAGCCCATCTCATATCTGGTCTTCCTCTTTTCCTGCTGCCTTCCACCTTTTCCAGCATTATCTTTTTCAGAAAATCCTGGAAGTAGGACAGCCTCAGGTTCAACATATTTTGGCTCCAGATATGGGCCAGGCTTGATTTGATCTAGGATTTGTTCATCTTTCTGGCAGTCTAGGATATCCTCAAAGCTCTCCTCCAGCACCATATGTCAAATGAATCGCTTTTCCCCCCTCTTGGCTTTCTTTATTATCCAACTTTCATACCCATACACGGTGATCGGAAATACAAGAGTGTGGATTATCTTGATCTTGGTCTCCAATGACACATCCTTATATTTAATGATCTTTTCTAGTTCCTTCCTTGCTGCCCTTCCTAGTCTACCTATTAAATAATATCATCCGCTCTATTTAATTTTTAAAAGGAATAAAGATCATTAAGATTTCCCATATAAATTTATTTAGCACTTCAAATGCTTTAAAGTTCTGGTCTGGAATATATCTAACGTTTAAAGAAAATTTTGATTTTAGATTTCCATTTATAATGCAGCTACAATCCGATTCACTGGTGTGTTGCTATAATTGCTTTTCATCTGACATTTCAGTGTATACTTTGGGCCTGTTACTTTCATGCATGCAGACTAAATCAGTGGAATGGTGATCATTTTGTACACTCAGTTTCTTTCTATGTTGTTTAAGAAAAGATGTTGACACTTTAATTATTCTGACAGAGATGAGAGTTCTCTGTTTTGAAACACAGGGGATTAAGAAATGACTTTGGGTACTGGAAAATGTTTTATATTTCTCTTCCTAGTTAAACAAAAGTAACTCTTGTAATGGATGGAAGGGACATTTTTCAACTCCATTTATGCTAGAACATAAGACGGTTCTTTATAACTGATGCATCTCTGATTTAACGCAAGGCACTTTGCTTTAAAGAGCTGTTAGAGGCCTTCCAGGAAATGTTCAAATGCACTCAGAGCAGAAATAAATCTGCTTATATATGATGTTTTAAATTCCTCCTTTGTTCTTTACTAATAAAGCCTGGCACATGAAAATATGCCCCTTGTTACATAAAAAAATAGTTTGGAAATTGCTGAGCCTTGCAGAGAACTTCACAAAATCCTGATTAAAATAATTTTGCCGTCAGATTCTCTTTACCTCCTCCTCCTCCACCTTTGGTTCAATATATATCTACATTAACAGTGTTTATTTTTAAATTAAAAATTTGATTAACCCACTCCAGGCGAAGTTGCCAAATGTGTCCCGAGAAAACCAATGGAACAAGTAATTTTTTTCACTTCCTTTGTTTAGCTGGCTTGGTTGTCATGATGGGTTAGGAGAACCCAGCTGAAGTTAGGAAGTTTTATGTGCCTTTCATTTCAGCTGGAAAATTAATAGCTTTCTCACCACGATCTCTGATATTTAAAACGCTTCAATGTGGCTGGAGTAGGCCCACACACCCTTCTTTCCTTTTTATTATTGCTAGATTTCAAGTGAAGACTGGAGTGAAAGATGCCAAGTGAAGCTAATGGGATGTAAGTGTATGGGAGGTTGGCTTCAAACGGGTTATCATCAGCCCTGAGGCCACTCCCTGATGCTGGAGGAGAGAGACGTATGGGCTGCATGGGCTGCTCTGCATCCCCCCGAACTAGCCTGCAGCCCTCAAGGATAATGGAGGATGCTGTCCTGTTGCCCCTGTCAAAGTCACATTCATCTGCTGGTTGGGTGGGTGTCCAATGGATCCCGAAGCCAAATGGCCTGGGACAGCCCTCACCTTTGGAGCACTGC